TTGTTTACACCCCAGCCTCATCCACCACAGTGTGGACCCAATCTTCTCAGCCCTTCCCTGGTCTCCAGCCCCTGCTCACATGACAGCCTCATGGATTGCAGCCCCAGCCCAAATCCCTGGCCAACTCCAGTCCTAGGCCAAAGCCCCCTCTTCCAGGCTGGTTGCCAGTTTTCTGCCTGGACCATGGCCCCTCACCTCCTCATACAGGCGCCTCAGGAAGTCGATCTCCTCAGTCAGGGCCTCCGCGTTGGCCTCCAGGTCTGACTTGCGGAGGTAGGCACAGTCCACATCCTGGAAAAGTGGGAGTCTTTGAGCGAAGAGGACCCATGGTGGTCATCACCCCAAGCTCCTCTCCCTTCTCCCCCATCCTTGGAGGCCAGGGGAAAGGATTCCCAGTGTTCCTATTCCCATCCCATCTTCATCTCTTCTGGCCTGCCCAGGATGGGCTTCACAACCTCCTGCTCTTCTGGGAAAAAACCCCTTTGTGCCTGGAGATGGGCCACCAGCCTCTCACTCCTCTTATTATTCCAGCTCTCCTTTGTAGCCTCCTTAATCCAAGAAGCCCATCAGACAGACTCCCTGCTTGGCCACCTCGACCCCTCCCCGGTCCCCCCGGCAGTCCTCCCAGACTCCACCTGGCCACTCCCGATTCTGCTCCATCCTCCCCACACCCTGGGGCTGCACCCCTCCTTTTTGTCAGACTTCCCACAACGTTAGACAGGATACTGTCCCTCCATAGAGAGCCTGCAGTTGCTCTGCCTCCCTGGGACCCCCGCTGGAGACCACCACTTCCGAAGCAGAGCAGGACATCCAGAGGTCAGCCCAGCCATCCACCTGCCCCAGGGCAGGGTGTTAGTGGACACTGCAAGGTTATCACCCTTCATCAGCGACCTGAATGAGCCTTTCATGACCTGATTTCTGGGATTTCCCATCTCGATGTGGCCAGGTCATGTACCCCACACTGAGGTTGAGACCCTCTGGGTCTCCCCAGGAAGAATCTGTCATTCCAGGATCCCTGATGTCTGTGCTTCCAATCCCACATTACTCACCTTCTTCAGAGCCACAAATTCATTCTCAGCTGTTGCTCTCAGAGAAACTTCCTCCTCATACCTGAGGCAGAAGAGGGCAGAGAGGGAGGTCAGGGAAGGGCAATATTAGGAACCTCCCAGCAGCCGGGACCCCAGCAGCTCTGCTGGATCCTTTCTTTCTGGCTGGATCTGGAACGCGTCTGGGATTCTCTCCCCACTTTGAATTGAGGGGTCCGGAGAGCCTATGTTCTGGGACCTCACAGCCCCATTCCCAAAGCTGCTGTGAGGTCCCCTCAGGAAGAAAATAAGGACACAGCATGCAGCCCTGGGCTAGGATTGCAGAGCAACCCCCCCTCCCCTGGGTGTCCATCCTAGCTCAGGCTGGGGGCCTATGCCACCCATCAACAATCAGCACTCAGCACCCTGGGCAGTGGGTCACCCAGAGCCCCAGAACCCATCACCCCAAGGTGCTACAGGTGGGAACTGAGAGGTCAGCGGGAGAAGGCCTGAAGCCAGCAGAAGTCCCCTCTCCCCGCCCACCGGGCCCAGGGGACAGCCTCCGAGAAGAGAAGGCCAAAGTAGGAGAGATATGTGTGCTGGGGGAGTCCCAGGCTTGGGCTCAGGCAGGCCACTGGGCACCAGTGGCACAGATGAGAAGATCCTACTGCACACGGCACCCCCCGCCCCGGCCTGCATGGCCTCTTGCCCTTCTGGGAAATTCCTCTCAAGTCTAATCCAATGGGCTCCAAGTCAAGTCCATTTCCTGTGCCCAGCGTCACTCCTGGCCGCACTCACTTCTTCTTGTAGCCCTCCAGCACCTCCTGCACGTGGTTGAGCTCCGAGGCCAGCCTCCCGCTGTCGGCCTCCACGCACTCGGCCTCCCTCCTCAGGGTCTCGATGTAGCCCTCGAACAGGGGCTCCAGGTTGCTCTCGCAGCACTTGCGGTTCTGGTAGAATTGCCACTTGGTCTCCAGCAGCTTGTTCTGCTGCTCCAGGAAACGCACCTGCGTTCAGGGTATGAGGAGGGGGTCAGATGGCTCCTGGTGTCCCAAAACCAGTTTGGGGTGGGGCTGATTGCTTTAGGGTAAACTCCCAAGCCTGTAGCTCAGCAGAGATTTGGCAGAGAGGGGCAGTGGGAGACAAGGTGACATCTGGCTTTCCTGACTGTCATCTGTGTCTGGAGTTTCCAATTTAGGGATGGGAGCCAGGGTTGGGAAAGGTCAGTCCCTGCTCTCAGGGACATTGACTTATCCAGACCTGGTGAGTCCAGGTGGCATGTGGTTTGGGGCCAGCTAGAGGTCTCTATTTTGCCTCTGACCTGGTGCCCAGCCTAGGTCCTGAGCGTGGGCGGGGTACAGGAAGGCTGTGGTCTAGGACACCCACCCATAGGATGGGCCTGTGGTCCTCTTCCTATTTCTTATGTGCATTCTTGCGTCTGCGTGCATGGACTGCCCTCTTGCTCTGGCATGCCAGTTCCAAGCCTGTCCTTGTCTCTCTGTGGGGACCTGCCTGCCTGGACGGAGGTTGCATGTGATAGCCACACTATCAAATCAGGAGCCTCTGCTCTATATACTCATGTCTTTGGTCCACGAGTGCCCTGGGTGTGCGTCCATGTCCTGCATCAGACTGGGAGCTCCCCTGGACCACATCTCCTCTCTTCAGTGCCTAGCCCAGGAACCGAAGGCTCGGGAAGTGTGTGATCAAGGACACCCACCTTGTCGATGAAGGCAGCGAACCTGCTGTTGAGGCCCTTGATCTGCTCCTTCTCCTCGTGCTTCACGCCCTGCGCGTTGGGGTCGATCTCCAGGTTGAGGGGCGTGAGGAGGCTCTCGTTGACCGACACGCTGGTGATGCAGGGCGGGCTGGGCCCGCACACGCCGCCGGAGCGGTAGCCGAAGCTGCGGCCGCAGGAGCCGGCGCGGAAGCCGCCGCAGACGCTGTGGCTGCCGAAGCCCCCGGTGAGGCCGCGGTAGCAGGAGACGCCGCGGTAGGGGGCGGCCGTGATGCAGCAGCGGCCGGGCCGGGGCCCGCAGGCCGACATGCAGCTGAAGGCAGGGCCCGCACAGTAAGATCCACAAGTCATGGTCCTTCTTGGGGGCAAGGGAAGCTCTGAGGAGGGAGACGTACTAATGGAGGGTACAGTGGTTGAAGTGTTTGTGTCTTGGACATCTTTGGGCCTTTTATATATGCGGGGAGCCTAATGCGTCCATGGGTTAGGAGCAATTAGATGTCTTTATTGGCTTGGGTTGTTTAGCTGCCTTGGCTCCTCCCTTAATGTGCTTAATTGGGGGCCAGATGTGGCCAAATGTTTATGGCCTTTTACCCCAAACTGCACAATTGTTTATCTTCAAAAGGCCAGCTCACCTCCCCCACACGCTCCCCATACCTCCCCATACACATTTGGTGGAACTCAGGGATTGGAGGATGGGGAGCAATGACTCAAATTAGAATGGAGGGAGGAGAAAGGCGGGGCTACGACTCCCGTACTGCCCCATTTGAAGACGTCTGTGCTGCTGTCCGTGGTGCTGATCGAACCGACCTTGGGATACTGGGAGAATATGAGATCAACAGAAAATTATTTAAAACGGGGTGCACTTGGTGGTTTCCCTCACATCATTAGCCCATTTCTCCACCGCCAAAGCCCCAACACCCCCACACTTGCCCAAAACCCTCACCCACACCTATCAACATATTCCGTCTCTATGACTCTCTCTCTCTCCCTCCCCCCCACCCCCCACCCCCGTCTCACACACACACACACACACACAGTGCATTCACATACTGGCCTTCCCACCCACAATCTCACACACACACACACACTCACTTTCTCATGTGCATTCTCACCTACCTCGATTTGCACACAGACCAGTCTGTAAGCCAACTTACATCATCCTGGCCAGCGTATGCTGAGAAGAGGCATTCCCTTCCTCAGACTCTTTGGGCCTAAGGGGGCACACAGTGGCTCACTGGCTTCAGGAATGCCCAACTATTTCCAACAAGGCCCCAAGAAAAGATAGCATGCCTGGATTTCACCTCAAACTTCCATTTTCCTCCAGGGCCCAGAAAGCCTGGAGTAGACACTACTGCTATGAGTCTGTATTGCATTTGGCTCAGAATATAATAGAATAAATCTATATAGAGCCATGAGGAGGACATCCAGCCCCCTCCCACCACCTCCCCCTGCTTCAGATCTGTGCTGCTTCCTTTGCTATACCAACCCTACAACGCCCTTCCCTTTACAGCAGTTTATCAGTAATGTTGGCAGATGTCAAAACAGATCCATATTGGTGTGTTCCCCCTGTAGTGTGTATAGTGTGGACCTTGAACTCAGAAAGGCTGGATGGGAACCAAGGCTCTGCCATGAATAGCTCTGTGTGATCTGAGGGCAAGGCACTTCATTCCTCTGGGAAGTATGTTAAGTCTTTCCTTCCAGTGCTGCCTGGGAAATTTACAGAGATGTCCACATGCTCAGTAAACTCAGTGCAGCACAGTGCAGATGTGCTTTATTAAAATCATTAAGAAGCTGGAGGCTCTGGGGCAGCATTTTTTCAGAGTTCACATTGTGGCCCACTAATAGAGGCAAACAGAATTTTTTAAAGATTTTATTTATTTATTTGAGAGAGAGAGCATGTGAGAGAGAGCACAAGCAAGGGGGAGAGGTAGAGGGAGAAACAGACTCCCCACTGAGCAGGGAGCCTAAATGCTGGACTTGATCCCAGGACCCTGGGATCATGACCTGAACTGAAGGCAGATGCTTAACCGACTGAACCACCCAGGTGCCCAGAAGAAAACAGAATTTTAATGAAATAGACTAGAACAAAATCAAGTAGAGTAGAATAGAAAATATCAGAGTGCATTATATGTAGTAAAAATAACATTTCATCTCCTTTTTGCTTCAATTGTATGTGGTGTGTGTATGTGTGTACTTTGTCACCACACAAAATTATTTCTTAGTATGATTGGAAATAAAAAAATTTTAAATACGTAAAAAAGTTAAGTTTAACTTAAAAAAGTTAAATACACAGCATATCAGTTAAGAACACAGACCCAGATTCCAAACTGCCTAGTTTCAAAGTCCAGCCCTGCCACTTTCTAGCTATGTAATCTCAGATAATTACTTAACCTCTCTGTACCTCATGTCATGATTTATAAAATGAGGATAATAGTATCCACCTCATAAAGTTGTTGTAAAGATTAAAAGAATTAATCCGCGTAAAGCACTTAGAACAGAGCCTGACACACTCTAATTATGTAATCATATTAGTAGTTGTTATTGCTGCTAATGCTGCTGCTGTAGATATACCAGTAGGTTTGATGGAATATACCTACCCACATTCTTAAACCACCTATGTAAAATTCCCATTAATGGTGTCTATCTTAAAGGACTAGTAAAAGGATTAAATTAAAGAATACCATGGATAATGCTTAACACAGCACCTGGCACATAGCAAGTGCTCAGTAAATGTTATGTACTATTATTCTGCCACGGGGTCAGTCCAAGGAACAGGGAGGACCTGAGACCTTTGGCCATGGTTACTTCTTTTATCCTGGAAAAGAACCCAAAATCAAATGCCACTCCTTCAATCCCTACTCTAGCCCAACTGCCCCCAGGAAGCCCCAATGATAATTTCTCCTCTTAGGCAAAGGGAAAATGTCACCAGTCCTTGAGCAACTACACTACTGGATGAAAAGAGAAGCTTGGACAGTCCAAAAAGTCTGTTATCTGTTAATAATTCATAAATTTGGGGTGCTGGGTGGCTCAGTCGTTAAGCGTCTGCCTTGTGCTCAGGTCATGATCCCAAGGTTCTGGGATCAAGCCCCGCGTCGGGCTCCCTGCTCCTCAGGAAGCCTGCTTCTCCCTCTTCC